TCTCAGGCGTGGATTTCTTAAAGAATATTTTTTCAAGTAGTATCTCAGGCGTGGATTTCTTAAAGAATATTTTTTCAAGTAGTATCTCAGGCGTGGATTTCTTAAAGAATATTTTTTCAAGTAGTATCTCAGGCGTGGATTTCTTAAAGAATATTTTTTCAAGTAGTATCTCAGGCGTGGATTTCTTAAAGAATATTTTTTCAATTTCTTAAAGTAGTATCTCAGGCGTGGATTTCTTAAAGAATATTTTTTCAAGTAGTATCTCAGGCGTGGATTTCTTAAAGAATATTTTTTCAAGTAGTATCTCAGGCGTGGATTTCTTAAAGAATATTTTTTCAAGTAGTATCTCAGGCGTGGATTTCTTAAAGAATATTTTTTCAAGTAGTATCTCAGGCGTGGATTTCTTAAAGAATATTTTTTCAAGTAGTATCTCAGGCGTGGATTTCTTAAAGAATATTTTTTCAAGTAGTATCTCAGGCGTGGATTTCTTAAAGAATATTTTTTCAAGTAGTATCTCAGGCGTGGATTTCTTAAAGAATATTTTTTCAAGTAGTATCTCAGGCGTGGATTTCTTAAAGAATATTTTTTCAAGTAGTATCTCAGGCGTGGATTTCTTAAAGAATATTTTTTCAAGTAGTATCTCAGGCGTGGATTTCTTAAAGAATATTTTTTCAAGTAGTATCTCAGGCGTGGATTTCTTAAAGAATATTTTTTCAAGTAGTATCTCAGGCGTGGATTTCTTAAAGAATATTTTTTCAAGTAGTATTTTTTCTCAGGTGTGGATTTATTAAAGAATATTTTTTCAAGTAGTATCTCAGGCGTGGATTTCTTAAAGAATATTTTTTCAAGTAGTATCTCAGGCGTGGATTTCTTAAAGAATATTTTTTCAAGTAGTATCTCAGGCGTGGATTTCTTAAAGAATATTTTTTCAAGTAGTATCTCAGGCGTGGATTTCTTAAAGAATATTTTTTCAAGTAGTATCTCAGGCGTGGATTTCTTAAAGAATATTTTTTCAAGTAGTATCTCAGGCGTGGATTTCTTAAAGAATATTTTTTCAAGTAGTATCTCAGGCGTGGATTTCTTAAAGAATATTTTTTCAAGTAGTATCTCAGGCGTGGATTTCTTAAAGAATATTTTTTCAAGTAGTATCTCAGGCGTGGATTTCTTAAAGAATATTTTTTCAAGTAGTATCTCAGGCGTGGATTTCTTAAAGAATATTTTTTCAAGTAGTATCTCAGGCGTGGATTTCTTAAAGAATATTTTTTCAAGTAGTATCTCAGGCGTGGATTTCTTAAAGAATATTTTTTCAAGTAGTATCTCAGGCGTGGATTTCTTAAAGAATATTTTTTCAAGTAGTATCGATAATCCCCTGTACCCAACCTAATTTACAACTGAGGGCGTATTTCAGACAATTGTTTTATGATGCCGCCAAATGTTTAGTTTCGAATAGTAAAAAATCTCATTAAATCTAATTGTTCTTCACCAATTGCTGCTGTACGAACATAATTAACAGTTACAAACCACGTCAAGATGTTACACAATAACTAGACATCGGATTTGAAAATAAATGCTACGATTTTAAGGTTTACTGGCTGCTGCTGTCACTGGTGTTGTTGGTGTAGTTGTATTTCCTAACTGGCTCAAACAAGACACAAAGTGAATTAATTAAAAACAACAACAACTAAGCCGAACGAAGTGCGTTTTTATCATCTAATGATTTCAATCTACTTTTTGTTACAATTTAGTTAGTCACAAAAAGGTTGGCATTCGGAAAACTTGTCTTTAAGAAAAAATCTGTGTAACCAAAATTTGGAAAAATGTGCTTACAATGAAGAAAAGAACTACTAAACAAAATAAACAACCATTTACCCCACAGCCCTACACTCCAAAATAAATTGTAACCCACGAAAATAATACAACAAAATATTACAAAAATATTCTAATTAAAATAACAAACAACAAAAACAAATGATACGCATAACACGTCTACAAAATAAATTAAAATTTTTTGCGGAAATAAAAATTTTATTTGATGAAAATAAAAATCCCCAAAAAGAAAATAATTAAAAATTAAATAATAATAAATAATAAAAATTATATTAATTTTGTGTTGTAATTTGTTGTGAATAAAAAAAACTACTCTGATTGCTGAATGCTTGCGCAAAGTGTGCGTGTGAAAAGTGAGAGTGAGTGTTTGTGTTTTGGCGCCCCTCGTGTATTAATTCGCCAGTCAGCTTCTTCAGGGAGAAACATGAATTTTATTGGCCGTCATGATCATTTGGGCGGTTATCGGCGTGTGAACACAACCACCTATGGCATACCCCTATTTACGAAAAATGAAACAACATCGTTTGTTAAAGAAAGTGTTTCATGGAAGTGGCACAAGGTAAAAAAAATGCAAACCAAAAAAATTAAATACAATGATTTAATTATTATTAAAACAAAATTATATAATTAAAAAATATAAACAAATTTGCATAGTGGGAGGTCGTAGAAAGAAATATATAAGCTTGTAACCAAATTTTGAGACAATAAGTAAACAAAAAATCGACAGCTAGACACGGCTATTTTTTAAAGGATTCTCTGTGCAATTTTCAAAATAGATTTGAAGGTAATATAAATATCACAGGTGTGGATTTTTAAAGAAAATTTGTTAAGATCTATCCCAGGTGTGGATTTTTTGTTTAAGGAGTACCTCAAGCGAGGATTTTTTAATTTTAGATTTTTAAAAAGTACCTTAGTCATGGATTTGTTAAAGAATATTTTTTCAAGGACTATCAGAAGCGTGGATTTTTAAAGAATAATTTTAAAGGAGAGTCTTAGGCGTGGATTTTTTAAAGGAGAGTCTTAGGCGTGGATTTTTTAAAGGAGTGTCTTAGGCGTGGATTTTTAAAGGAGTGTCTTAGGCGTGGATTTTTTACAGTTGAGTCTTAGGCGTGGATTTTTTAAAGGAGTGTCTTAGGCGTGGATTTTTTAAAGGAGTGTCTTAGGCGTGGATTTTTTAAAAGAGTGTCTTAGGCGTTGATTTTTCAAAGGAGTGTCTTAGGCGTGGATTTTTTAAAGGAGTGTCTTAGGCGTGGATTTTTTAAAGGAGTGTCTTAGGCGTGGATTTTTTAAAGGAGTGTCTTAGGCGTGGATTTTTCAAAGGAGAGTCTTAGGCGTGGATTTTTCAAAGGAGAGTCTTAGGCGTGGATTTTTTAAAGGAGAGTTTTAGGCGTTTATTTTTTAAAGGAGAGTTTTAGGCGTTTATTTTTTAAAGGAAAGTCTTAGGCGTGGATTTTTTAAAGGAGAGTTTTAGGCGTTTATTTTTTAAAGGAGAGTCTTAGGCGTTTATTTTTTAAAGGAAAGTCTTAGGCGTGGATTTTCAAAGAATATTTTTTCAATGGCCTTCCAAGGCGTGGTTTTTTAAAGACGCCTTGGAAGGTAATTGGCGTGGTATTTTTAAAGACGCCTTGGAAGGCCATTGGCGTGGTATTTTTAAAGACGCCTTGGAAGGCCATTTGCGTGGTATTTTTAAAGACGCCTTGGAAGGTCATTGGCGTGGTATTTTTAAAGACGCCTTGGAAGGCCATTGGCGTGGTATTTTTAAAGAATAGTTTTCAAGGAATATAACAAGGCGTGGATTTTTTTAAACATATTTCTTCAATGGTCATCAAAGGCGTTGTATTTTAAAGAATATTTTTTCAATGGTCATCCAAGGCGCGTGGCATTTTTAAAAAATATTTTTTCAATGATCATCCAAGGCGCGTGGCATTTTTAAAGAATATTTTAGGGTCTATATAAGGGAGGTGTTGCTAGGAATATTTTTTAGAAGACTATAGCAATCGTAAAGAGTATGAGAATAATTTTTATTTTTTTTTTCTTTTCTATATATCAACTAAATAATATGCTTCTAATATCATAATTTCAATTTTGTATGTTTCTACCATTAAAAATACACGCCTCCACAAATCAAAAACAGAAATACATTTTATTACAATTAATTTGCGCAGTATCTTCAAAATTTTGCAAAACAAAGTCGCTATAAGTCCACAAAATAAATAAATATTTATTACAATTATAATTCAAAAGACATTCGAACTTAGACATTCAAAAAACATTCGAACTTACTGGGTGTGTTGTGTGAAATGTGGATCTTGTGATACACCAAAGGATACAGACCACCCGTTGAGTTCAGTTTTACGACCTATTTATAAATATGTTTGTATTCCTCCTAATGCTATAGTTTAGGGTTCTAAACATTAATTTGTTTATTTGCATTGAAAACGTCTACAACTGCATGTTATTGTGGTTAAAATCACATGTGAAATATAATACTACAAAACCAATGAATGAAAGAAACCAGAATCCCATAAATTCTGTCAAATCGTTCTAAAAAGCTACAGAGCCACACACATTATACATTAGGAAAGTCATTAAACCAAAAAAAGAGTTATTTATTGCTTCGGAATAAAAAAACAAAACAAAAACAACCAAAAAATACACAGTGATTTTAACAAGTTTCAAAGGCAGTTTGCATAAAAATTATATCAATTTCAATAAGATGCTAGTGTTAAAGGATTATAAATTCAAAATAATGTAGAAATTATGGCTACAGATGATCCAGACGGTTCAATAACTGTTCAGTTTCCAATGAAACAATAATGTAAAACATATATTTTCTTCATAAACATTGGCAAATGAAATTGTGAAATAAAATATAATTCACAATAAGAACAAAAAAGCTCATTGTTTATTTTGCCACACATAACTGCTCGTTTCAATTCATCAATGTTTAAAAAATATATTTTCTTGTGAACCCTATTAACCTCAGAGCAAATACAATTTGCAATGACAAACATTAAACTAAACAATTGATACACACATTAAATTTAATAATTTCTTTCTGTTTTCAACAACCATTTTATAGACTAAAAACCTGCTTTTCTATAATAAAAAAAATCTAAACAAATTCTAACTCACTATTTACATTCGACAATCTGCTCTAAGGTTCTATTTTTATTAACAGCTTTTCGTATTAGGTTTCTAATTATTATAACAAATATTATTTTGTTTTTCATGTTTTCTTGAGGAATAATGTAACACGGTTTACAATTGAAACCTTGGCATGAAGTTTGCACATGTTGTAGTTGTTATTTTCAATTTTATTTGTACAATAATGCTTTTGCCTTGTTTTTGTGCCTTGTGTATTACCGAATGTTCCATTTTGATTTGTTAGCATTTTCACACACGTACGTACAGTATAGTGTTTTCAATAATTTTTCATTTAAAATAAAAAATGAAAAAAAAAACACCCAAGTGTTAATTGATTACGTTTATTATTATTGCATTTTTGCGCACAGTAACCGCAAAATGATTTGTATTTATTAATAAAAAATAAAGTAAAAGCCATTAGTGTTACACAATTACTATGGGCAAAAGTGTTATTGGCAGGAGGAGAATGTCCAATGGAGATTATTTTGTAATCGAACATCAAAAATAATCGTACAAATCCACAAATAAATATGGATATAGCTCGTTTGTATCTCAGAAAGTAATCAATTATTTGATAGAATGCATTTAAAAAAAAAATAACATGTCTTTAAAACGTTCCATAAAAAATAAATGTCATCAAATATATATCAAATTATCAGCAGATGATATCCTATGCACTTTCAAAAAAAGGTCTCAGGAAATATTTTATATTTACTATAACTATCTAATTTATCTTCAAAGTTGTCTTATGATTGTTGAAGAACTACAGAAGATCACATATCCACAGAAATATTCAATATGGCATTATGTCCATTTTTATTATTTTATTTATGTCTATATTTATAAGAATAATGGTTTTCCTTGTGATTCAGAGAATGTTTTGTATCTTTATCAAAATACAGATCTACTAACACTTAAAATATATGTGGTATTCATACAGACCTTTTCTAAAAAATCTATTCAGTAAGCAAATCAATTTAGTGGAGGTTGTGGGTTACTGTGCACAACATTTTTTTTTTTTTTATACCCTTCACCACACTGTGGTACAGGGTATTATGTCTTTGTGCATATGTTTGTAACAGGCAAAAGGAAACGAGATAGACACATGGTTCCCTTTGAGAATATGCTTAGAATCACGTTCTAAGCCGATTTATGCATATCCGTTCGTCCGTCTGTCCATGTTAAATTGTTAACAAAGTACAGGTCGCATTTATGATCCGAATTGGTTGAATTTTGGCATAGGTCTCTTATTTGGCCCAAGGACGAACCCTATTGAAATTGGGAAAAATTGGTTCTGATTTAGATATAGCTCCCATATATATTTTCGTCCGATTTTAGGGAACCCACCCAATTCTCGATTTTTTATTTTTAAGATTTTAAATGGGCTGGTAAATGAATACCAATGCTTGTTAAGGTTTGTAACTTGGCACATATATATTTGAAGATTTAAAGAGGAAGAAAAATAATTTACTAAAATTTGTTGTTGTTGTTTTGTTGTTGTTTTTTTGGGTTCAAAGAAAAGTCCTTATTTTCGATGGCGGGCATGATCACTCCTCACTGGAACATCGGAATCCGAAAATTCCAACTGTGTTAGAAAGAGGACATGTCTGGCTCTCGTATGAACTAGGATTATTGACTTCGCACAGCCATTAACAAAATGGCGGAACTTTGAAAATTTTTTTATGGAAAATTGTCTATTTTTTACCACAAACTAAGTTAAAAAATAAGGAAGATCTTTACCGATTGGCTTTATCCTAGTTCATACGAGAGCTACGCACTCCCAGAGAAACGTGTCAAAATTAGAAACCGATTGGATTATTAGTTTTTGAGTTGTCGTGCACGCCATTCGTTTTGAGAAAAACGCGTTTAAAGTTTGAGAAGCCCTTTAGCCGTCACTTGATGCTGACACAATAAATCGGCTATATCTTCAAGAGTTCTTGAGATTTTCACTTGAAATTTTGTAGGAACATTCTAGAATTAGATTTAAAAACATTCGAATTAAATCAAAAACATTTTTGACACCGAGAATGGGGGGGTGGGGGTCCCCTTAAGGTAAATGGTGTACAAAAATCCATATATATATATATATATTTCGATTTGCACGAAATTTGGCATAATATACTGAATTGAGCCTAGAATAATGTCTGCCAAGTTTCGTGAAAGTCGGCCGAGATTTAGATATAGCCCCCATATATAGTTTCGTCCGATTTAATGTAAATGGTGCACCAAAGTCCCTATATATGTTGCGATTTGCACGAAATTTGGCATAACGCAATGAATTGAGCCTAATGTGATGTCTGCCAAGTTTCGTGAAAATCGGTCTAGATTTAGATATAGTTCCATATATATCTTCGTCCGATTTTATGCAAATGGTGCATCAATGTCCCTATATATCTTTCGATTTGCACGAAATTTGGCATAACGCAATGAATTGAGCCTAATGTGATGTCTACAAAGGAAAATCGGTCCAGATTTAGATATAGCTCCCACATATAGTTTCGTCCGATTTAATGTAAATGATGCACCAAAGCCCCTATATATTTTCGATTTGCACGAAATTTGGCATAGCGTACTGAATTGAGTCTGGAATGGTGTGTGCTGAGTTTCGAGAAAATCAGATCATATATATATATATATATTCTCGTCCGATTTAATGTAAATAATGTACCAAAATTCTTATATTGAATATCGTACTGAATTTAGTCTAGAATTATGTGTGCCAAGTTTCGTAAAAATCGGCTAATTTTAAGAAATTGACGCACCAAGGAGCTGATAGGAACAAAATGTACTGAAATTAGTATAACCTATCCTGCGACAAGTTTCGTTAAAATCGGTTCATATTTGTATATAGCTTCCATATATATTTTCGTCCGATTTCAAGTAAATGGTGCATCAAACTCCTCATGCTTGTCGAATTGACATGAAATTTTGCACAACATGCAAATTGAACATAGAATAATAAGAAGTTACGTTGTTCTAGAAATACATACATAGCCCAACGTATGTCCTTGTGATATTTGTTTGAAGCCGATAGGAATACTTTTGTCCCATTGTAACAAACGAATGACATGTTTATGGATTGATCTAAGTTAATTTATATAAATATCACCCAGTCCGACTTTACTACTGGTTTTTATTCTGTGTTATTTTGTTCGACCTTTTGATGATTATAATAATAAAACAATATATTTGTTCGAACTTGAGGCCTAGTTTATTTTTTATTTTTCACGTTCGATATTTCGCAATTGATTTAAATTGCATCCTCAGGATAATCTACAAACAATTTTGACATTAATGACACTAATTATACAGAATGAAGTGACAAAATCGCTTAATTAATTCTTTTAATTTTTTTATTATAAATTTATGTTTTCTTCATCTTCGTTATCACTTGTCTCGTTTCTTCTTATTTACCAACATATTCATGTTCTGCGTCATTAGGACAATCATTTGGGTTTGTTGTTCGTATCAATACTTGTTTTACATCGAAATAATTTGGAAAATATATATGCGAATTTTGCAACACCAATGCAGAGGTCGGTAATAGTGTCTGAAATAAAGAAGTGATTTGAAAGACGGCGGTTGTTAGGAACAAAACAGTGGTCAAATAAACGGTTGCAAAAATAAAAAAATCTCTCAAACACTCCCATGTTTCTGTCCATACACCAGCACGGGAAGTATCATCGTCTTGTAGAGTGCGAGTTTGGAGTTTTCTAAACTGCTTAGCTTCTGATGGCGAACACGATACCGAGGTATAGAAAATCATTCACTGCATCGCAGCTTAGTTTGGTCTTCTCGCATTTACTGCCAGACCCACTTTGGTAGACTCCTTCTCAATTTGTTCAAAGGTGACAAATTCACTCTTTTAGCGCAGAGTGAAAATCAGGTCACTGGTGAACTTGCCATGCCTGAAGCCGCATTTGTATGGTCCAATAATGTCATTGGTAATTATCTTAAGTCGTTCACACAGCACACTGTATAGCACTTTATATGCGATGGGAAGGATACTTATTCCTCTATAGTTGACACATTTCGTCTTATCACCTTTTTTATGCACGGGACACCGTATGCTGAGGTTCCAATCAATGGGCATGCATTCCTCTAGCCAAATTGTAGTCATCAGCTGTTGCATGCTCCAGTAATTTGAAAATAATAAAAAATTTCGCATATAAAACTCATAAATATAATGTTTTCCAAAAAACGAGTTTCAGAACCTTATTTATTTATTTCATAAACCCACTGCTCTAATTTTGACAATTTGTGGGGGAGGTACCAAAAGGAGTGGACCAATGGGCCCCATCTCCGGACTTGCAAAAATATAATATTTTCCACACACTCGAGGTTTCATGTAGTAAGAAAATATTCTGGAGGTTTTCTGTTTCAGAAAAATATGTCTTATACTCCTAGAGATATCCATTTTCTAACGTCTAAAATATGCCTTCTATGATTATTTGTTTAAGATAAATTAAAAATGTGTCACAGTTTATTAAAGCTAACAAGCCATACAAATTAATTTTATAATATTGTCATTAACGCTATAATAACTTTAATTATATTAATTTATTTATTTGGAAAAAAATTCTCAACATTATTTATATTTTTGTCAATTGCAGGGTTCGCGTGTCAGCACCATCAATGATTGGCTGCAAATAAAAATTGGCGGCGATGAGGAGGTCAAGAAGAAAAAACGAAAACAAAAATTGAATCGTATTAAATCAACGAAATACACATTCATAACATTTCTGCCACAAAATCTACTCGAGCAGTTTCGTCGAATAGCGAATTTTTATTTTTTAGTTATGACAATTATATCATTGCTAATTGGTGAGTATTTGGTGTTTATTTTTTTTAATATGAATTTAAATTGAGTACACAAAATTAAAAAAAAAAAAATGGGGACACAACCGATATTTTTTAAATATAATACTTAATATATTTAAACTTAAATGTAATTGGGTGTGATAAAATTTATTAGGGAACCCAATAAGCGTATGCGGACTTAAGTATCCTCTTTGACAGGTGGCGATAGTTTCACCAATATCTAAATAATAAATTTTCATCTTGGAAAATAACAGTAAAATACTGATCTTTACTCAGGCCCCGAAATACACCTGTTTATTTTAGTTATAAGTGTTGGTTTTGTTTTATTTTAGAATTCTCAAGTTCTTCCCCTAAAATCCACCGCTGACCAATATTTCTAAAAATACTTTGATTTTTAATAAATATTTTTTCTATTAACTTTTATTATCTACTTTTTCGCCTTGATTTTGATAAGTTAAGTGTTCAATGAAAAGTAAATATTTTTAATTAATTTAAATCTAAAGTGCTAAGGTAATAAAAAATCGCATTCGTGTGTTTGTTATCATCATCATCAGTACCGCACTATGAAAGGGAAACGAATGAGGAAAAAAAAATTATATAGAAAAAATAATTTGACTATGTTGACGCAGTAGGAAACTATCAACAATGTATTTATTGAGGTATTGATTGAATGGAATGTTTGTCAATCTATTCATTTCAATTAAACTATTATTTGAAATTGAATGAACTTTTGTTTCTCTCTACTAAATTGTTGCTCAAAAGGAAAGTGTCAATAGATAGATTTATTCATGATGACAGAGAACGAATGAACGAACAATGGATGGATGGATGGCACACATGCAAAATGTTGTTGCATTTGGACAAATTAAAATTTGAAAATTTGTATTTCAAGGTTATTTTAAAGAAAATTTTATTTTTTTATTTTGACCAAATTAAATATTTTTAGAAAATTGGTTCTGACCTACAAATAAGTAAATTGGAGTCTATTCAATATTTGCAATATGAAATTCCCCCCTATGAAAATGTCAGCACAATTCCAACATCTGCGGGTCATCTGGGAATTTTAATGAAAAAAAAACCCTGATGGCAATGAAACATTGTATTTCAAATCGCATTTTAATTGCATGTCCACGTACAATGTTTAATGACAGTTGTATAACACGACACTGTTAGCAAAATAATGAATTTAAATGAATTTGAAATCGAAAATTTAGGCGACATTCAAAAATATTATCCCACGATAAATGAAGATAGAGGGGCAAAAACAAGCATTAATTGTAGATAATTACCGTTAATCATGACCATAGACAATTGGGGAATTAAAAAAAAAAACAAATTGCAAGTTTTGAAACAAAATATTTTTTTTGGCAGATAGGTCAAATGTCAAGAAATCTTAAATGGTGTATTTGAGTGTTCCTATTGGGGTAATATCTTATGCACAAAAAAATTAAATTATTATTTTCATAATTTTTTTTTCTATATTGCAAATTAAAATGAAATCATGAGAAAGTCACTATTTTTTTCAAAACATGTAAAAATTTTATTAATATCAAAACCATTTTCATACTTCGCTCTACTTTTCCACTGTTTGCGCCCTCTTTTCCTCTCTCTCTCTCTCTCTCTCTCTTTTGATACAAAAATGTATTAATTACAAGGACAAAATCCATTACCATTTATTGTTCGGCTATGTTCTGTTTTGGTATCGTGCTCCGCTTCTCCCCTCTTTTGGTGGTTGTTAGTTTTGCAACCGTGTGACTACTCCTTCTTTTCTCTCCACTCCACTCGGTTGTGTGGTTAGTTTTGCATTTCATTGTTTCTTTATTTCAGACACTGTTAGCGACCTTTGCATCGATCCTATAAAATTCGCATATGCATTTTCCAAAGTATTTCGATATAAATACCAAATTCACCTTCTACATATGTATCCTAACAGACGTCGCTTTTTCGAAGGAACATTGTCAAGAAATTTAACGAACTTAAACATGTGATCTTTGTCTATTTAAAAACCGACTAACATCAATCCCAACACATGCCATTCTGCAACCTATTCTAAATTTTGTAAATAGATTTAAAGCAAACTTTACACACGATATTTGGTATGAATCACTGTTAAACATTTTATTTAAATCAGACACCCATTGATTATTTGTTGTACAATAAACATGAATGGGTCGAAATTATATATAGAAGCTATGCTATATCTAAATCTGAACCGATTTCAAGGAAACTTTGCCAGAGATTAATTTATATTAATTTCAGAACGTTGTGTCAATCGGCCTAGCTATGGGTCTTTAGTGTACCATTTATTTAATATCGAAAGAATGCAAATTAAGGGAAATATAAGGACTTTGGTACACCATTTACATAAAATCGGACGAAAATATATATGGGAGCTACATCTATAACTGAACCGATTTTCACGAAACTTAGCACCACACATCATTCTGGACCTAATTCAGTACGCTATAAATTTAGTGCAAATTGAATCATACATAGGGACTGTGGTGCCCCATTTACCTTAAATCGAACGAAAATATATATGGGAGCTATATCTAAATCTGACCCGATTTTTTTCAAAACTTAACATACGTAATTCAAGACTCAATTCAGTACACTATCCAAAATTTCGTGCAAATCGAAAGATATATAAGGAATTTGGTGCACCATTTACATAAAATCGGACGAAACAATATACGGGAGCTATATCTAAATCTGATCCGATTTTCATAAATTTCAATAGGGTTCGTCCTTGGGCCAAAGAAGTGACTTGTGCTAAATTTCATCCAAATCGGATCAAAAATGCTTCCTGTACTTTGTTTACAATTTAACATCTACAGACGGACGGACGAACATGCATAAATCGACTCACAAAGTGATTCTACGTGTATTCTCAAAAAAATACCACGGGTCTGTCTCGTTTCCTTTTGCTTCTTACAAACATATGCACAAAGACATAATACTCTGTACCACAGTGTGGTGCAAGGTATAAATAGAAAATATAAATAAAAACTACAAACACTTTCTGTGACGAAGAAAATCCGCCACCACTACGGATTTAAAATTTTATGAATTGCATTCATAAAATGCAGAAATCCGGACATTATCAACACTTTCTGAACACTATTCATATAATATATGTACGAAATATTTTTTCTGTGTTCATACCTTGTCTAACCTCCTGCAGGTTATTATGAACACACTCTAAACCTTATTTTCGCCCTCTCTGACAAGTAACCAGTATTTAACGTTTTATGAATTGCATTCATAAAATGCAGAAATCCGGACATTGGCAACGCTTTCTGAACACTATTCATATAATATATGAAACAAACACTACTAACATCAAAGTGCGACTGTTTATTCAATTTCGATCGCCGGATTGGATCTTACAGGACACGCCCGTTCATTTGGATTGGATAAAAAGGAACTAGTCGGACCTAGTAGCGATCGTTCTTTGTTCGATATATTTCGTTCGGGAGCGACATAACTCTACTTCGAAGTAAATAGCGTGTTTTTTTCAAACGGTTCAAGTGGGTTCTGTCCTGCTTGAGCAACATAGAACCATTAGTTGTGAATCGTAGTACGCCATAATTTATTTCCCTGTAGTCATTGAAGAAATTTAAAAAGAAAAAGAACTGGAGAAGACAAATGATTGAGCAGCTTGACGATGCAACCTCTCGTCTCAACCCAAAGTCTTTTTGACCGGGTAAAATTATTGCAATACCTCGAAATATATATTAGCAATCAGAATAAATTTCTATGTCGATATGCGAATGTGCGTCAGCATACTACGAGGGCATGTACGTCTGCTGAAATCACGATAAAGCTCGCAATATTTAAGGCAGAGCTCAGAAATTTTGCACAGACATTGCTAGTATTCCTAGAATGTTTGGTATTATAATTGGGATATATCGATCCACATTTTTGTATAGCCTCTAAATAGCGATACCAAGCCTCCGACCGATTTTTTCGATCTTCTCAAAATATAGTCTTGAAACTGAGGGCATAATTGTCCTTTATTATTATTTATTACGGAAATAAGATTTTGTATTGGTTCCACAGGTACTTGTGAACTTTTTATCGGAAGACAAGGTGTAAAGACCTGTATAACCTTTATATAGATATGGTTAATTTGCATTTCACATAAGAATACAGTTATGTTTTACCCTTATACGGTTCATTAACCCATTCTACTCATATGAGGTTTAATAGTTCGACACATAAGTGTCAATTAAGATTGTTTTTTGTTTTACTTTAACTATCTAAACGGAAAACTTTTTCGCCAAGCCTTAGTGTTGTATTCCTCATATTGTTTTTATAGAGTTGATTGTATTTTATTTTTTACTGCACTGTGAACAATTCACGGTCAAGGCAATGACAAGGGAACTTTGCAAATGGTTCAATGAATACAAGTTGACGGATTTTTGTTTTCTGTGTTCACTTCATAAAGACAAAAAAAGTTTACATTTAAGTGCAAATTTAATTTGAAGAACAGGAAAAAAAGTTGTGTTGAATATTACCCGGCAATGTCGGCACAAGTGTTAACCTGAAGTAGTGGAGAGCACTTGTTTTTTGCCACTTGAAGCAAGCACATTGCATAAGTGCTGTCTTTTTATTTTAATAAATTCATTATTATTTAAATTAGCATCGCGAGTAGTAGGTTGGAGTACAAGAAGTTTGTTAATTTGTTTTTACCCAAAATGTTTTTGAATGAATTGTTGTAGAGGTTCTAGATATGTATATGAATTATAAATTATGCGATCATATTATAATCAACTTATAATACTCCATTTATTAATATAGTAATCGGCATTTCTGTAACACACTCACATTCTGAGGGGATGTGTATGTATAAAATGTAAAAAACACCGTGTGTTCCTGAACACAACCCAATATTTTAAAACTCCACTTGAACGAATTTCAAAATTGGGAAATAAAATATAAAAATTCAATAAAACATAGGTTTGAAATATTACACAAGTTCAGGGTCTACAATAAGGGTAGGATTGTAAAACTCGACCACTAGAGTTTTTTGCAAATATATGGCAGGACTTCTATGAAAGAGGCATTATGAAGTTACCTTTAAAATGCAAAACATCATAAAACAAAACTGTGGATATCGGACATTCCAAAGCATGTTTACTAAAGACCTATATTTCATGTTCGTGAAAATAAATTTAAATTTATTTCACAATATTTATTTTTACGTTTTCCAACATTGCATTGTATGGGACCTAACCTATTGTCCCCTTATATGGAATTTAAATCTGGCCACTGTGGGTCTAAGAAAAGCCACAGAGCTTCGGGAAAAATTTGGCCCAGAAGCATTTTCGATGCCCTTTTCGGAAATGCATACCACAATATTCCAGGCCCCGCCGTTTTCCCAGAGTGGGACCTAACCTATTGTCCCCTTATATGGAATTTAAATATGGCCACTGTGGGTCTAAGAAAAGCCACAGAGCTTCGGGAAAAATTTGGCCTAGAAGCATTTTCGATGCCCTTTGTCAAAATGTAACCAACATAATTTATTAGGCCCCGCCGTTTTCCCACAGTGGGACCTAACCTGTTGTCCTCTTATATGGAATTTAAATCTAAAGTTCTCACATTTGAACTAAAATGAACTATTATTCTCGCTCGCTCTTTTAATGAACTAAAAAGAACGACTTTCTAACACCTAGTTCATTTGCTCTCATCAGTGAATCGTTCTTTTGAACTAGTTCGTTCGTAAAATGTAGAGCTCTAACCAAGACCTTCTTCTTATCTCAACCGTACATATTGATCTTTCCATCTAATTCTTGGCCTTCCCCTTATACGTGAACCATTAGCTGCTTCACTTTTATATGCCTTTTGAGCTGGGACATTCTTATTCATTCGCACAACATGGCCTAGCCACCGTAGTCGCTGCAGCTTGGAACGACTGACTATGTCGATGTCCGCGTATAGATAGTAAAGCTCGTGGTTCATTCGACTCCGATATTCAACATCGACGCAGATCGGCCAATGTCGGCCATGTGAAGTTAAAGGTTGAATGTACCTATGGGGGTTTAAAAAACGTACTAAAAGACATCGGCATCAACACCAATGTTGCCAATTTCGATATTTCGGACCAAATTTGGTCCGAAAACCAAATAAATTCTCAATAGGGTTTAAATTTGAAATGTTGGTCTGATTTTCGCCCCTTTTTGCCGGCATTTGGTCTGAAATATTTTTTATCTTACGGATACTATGACCAATATATAAAGATAGCAGAGGATATGATGTCAAGAGATAGCGCCATCCAGTGGAAAATGGCAACACAAAATAATCAAAGGCCCTAACCACATTTAAAAATTCAAGGATACGTTGTTTCTAGGCAACGGTAGATGGCAGTCACATAAACTAGGACATGCTTCAGCAGACCTACCATATTCTTAGCTGTATTATGTACGAATAATGATTAACGAAACTAACGCAACTCATAATCGAGTAAAATCGGAGGCCTATGCTCTGTATAAGGAGAAAAAAGTCCATCAAGCAGAATTTCAAGATTATCAGGCAGTCATCTTCAGAGAAGTAGAATTTTACGTTGTAAAAATAAATGTTCAGTGCTTTGAAATTTATATACTCCATTTTCCCACCGAAGGACATTTCGAATTATTGTAGTGTTAAGAACATCTTAGCGGAAAATTTTCCATATGGGTTCATATTTTGACCTAGCTCCCGATATAAAGATTCCGGCCTATTTTAGATTTTAAACATATTTTTCTACCGAAATTGTTTTACTTTGTATTATGGATTTTTAGAGATTTTAGATGCAAATTTTGATATAGCCTTCACATAAAATTCGGCCTCATTTTCGTTATTTTGAAGATCGTAGCTACAATTTCCCTCCAAAGGGGCTGCAATTTGGTATTACGCGTTCTTGGAGGGCTAAGAACATATATGTTGAAAATTTTCAATATCGGAAAAAGTACTGACATAGCATCCTTATAAAAGTATGGCCGCATTTTTACCTATATTTTCCAGAGAAGTAGCTGACATTTGGAATTACATGATCTTGGAGGGTGAAATAGACCTTTGTAGAAAGTTTTCGATTCACGATGCACTGATGGATACATAAGTATAACAGAAAATATCATGTCAAGGGGATATCGTCACCCAGTGGAAAATGACAACACTAAATAAGCTAGGACACCAACCACCGAAAAATTCAAGGAGGCGTTGCTTCTAGGCAACACTAGATGGCAGCAATAAATTGATTAACGAAACTAACGCAAGAACTAATAGAGTACGATGGGAGCTCTATGCTAAGTATCAGGAGAAAAAACTGATCTTCGAGCAGAATATCCAAGACTATCAGTCAGTAATCTTTACAGATGTTTCTCTTCACCTGCTAGAAAAAATGCAAATGTTCGATAAAGGTTCATGCTATTACATTGGCTTCATACCATGGTCCGGCTCCAATTTCCCTATTTCGCAGGTTACAATTTTCTGTAGGTCCATATTTTGACATAGCCTGTATATAATATTCCGGCCCATTTTCGGCATTTTGAAGGTCTTAGCCAAATTTTCCCATCAAAGGAACTACAATTTAGCATTATGGTGTCTTGAATTGTGTAAACCACCTGTTTAGCGGGACACCGCCCATGGGAGTCAAGCCATCGAATGAGTAAGGGTGAAATAGAGCCGTGAAAGTAAAGAAAAAATACAATAGTTTTCTTTTCGCAGCGATGTGCTTATGCGCAACTATATGCGTGTTATTTGTCCGATTGACAGTGTGATGCTCATCGATGACTAAAGTAGGCGGCAAAGAAAGGCGCTAACCCAAGGTTTCAATAAGCCGTAGCGCTTACATTTCAAAGAATAATTAGGCCAATACAAGTAGTATTTGTATACAAATCTAAATTAAACAACATCTTCATAAAAAGCTTTCCATATAGCTCCATCTTCTGGCATAACCCATATATAGTTCCAGGCTTTTAATCTGAGTTTCTGTAATTTGATATTTAATTTTTTAAGAGCAATTAAATAACCCCAATATAAAGGTCCCTATCGAATTGAGGAATTTTGATTTCATAACGCATGGTGGAGGGTAGAACAATTTATGTTTGGCGGGTAGAAAAGCTGAGCGATACCAAATGATAGAGGTTTCGGTTAGCAAAACAATCATTCAGTATCACTGTGCCTCTTAGGTATGGATATAACAATTAGATACTTATCTATAAGAGGAGCCAATCCCACCCACCCATAAAAAAAGACAAACAAAACATACTTTCTTTCAAACAATACCCTCAAATATTTCAATGTGAATATTAAAAAGTCTCATAAAGAAATATGCCATTGTGTGAACACGTGCACTTTTGTGTGTGTGTGGATTTAAACGTTTGACGGGTTTTTATTTCTTTGATGAATTCATTGATAAAATTGTTTAATTTTATTTATTTTTTCATTAAATATATTTTTTGTTGTGTTTTATTTTTGCAGACAGTCCCGTATCACCAATGACATCACTATTGCCGTTAGTTTTTGTAATTGCAGTGACGGCAGCTAAACAAGGCTATGAAGATATTTTGAGATATAAAACCGATAATATTGTCAATTGTTCGCCAGGTGAGAGGAGTGAGAATTCAATTTTAAAAATTTTTTAATAACATTATTGGTCTTTTTTGTAGTAACCGTAATACGAGATGGTGTGGAACAGCACATAGAATCCCAGTATGTGGCCCCTGGCGACCTTGTGGTGGTGGAACGTGACTGCGATGTACCCTGTGATTTGGTGCTCATACGATCCTCAGATCCACATGGCAAATGTTTTATAACCACGGCCAATTTGGATGGTGAATCAAATTTGAAAACGTTGATGGTGCCGCGTGATCTACCCCTGGTCGATCTGGATCAACTACACAAATTGGGTGTTATAGAATGTGAAAGCCCCAAGACTGATTTATATAGTTTTAATGGTAAAATAGAATTGGCAGGTGGTGAGGGTAAGGTACTACCTCTGACAGCAGAAAATGTTTTGCTGCGTGGCTCTCGTGTCAAAAACACCGAATGTGTAATTGGCTGTGCCGTCTACACGGGTATGACCACGAAGTTGCAATTGAACTCCAGACTAACCCGCAACAAATCTGCATCCAGTGAAATGTATATCAATCGTTTTTTGATATTCATTCTCATTGCTATGATTGTGATTGTAACTGTTCTGTATTTTTTGAAACGTTATGAGGAGTTGTTTGTGATACCTAACTTGGCATATTTGGGTCCGCCGGCCGATAGTTATAGTGTCAAGCAATTCCTGCAGGATTATCTTTCGTTTTTGATTTTATTCAATTATTTGATACCCATCTCATTGTATGTCACAATTGAAATGCATCGTGTATTGGGTGGCCTCTTCATGGAATGGGATACCCAGCTGTATGATGAGAATACCGATCAGCCGTGTATTGTAAATACCTCAAATTTAAATGAAGAATTGGGTCAAATAAATATTTTGTTTTCGGATAAAACGGGTACCCTCACCAAAAATGAAATGATTTTCCAACAATGCTCCATAGCGGGGAGGAAATTTATTTATAAAAAGACCCGATTGCAGGAGGAGAATTCCGCATATCAAATTGATATTAATAAATTTAATGTGAGTATACTACTAACCCTCCATCAAAATATATTACATTTTGGCATTCCGATAAGTTGTTGAAGTTTTCATGGCCTATAAATAGGCGTGGATTTCAAAAAAATATTTTTTATGGTCTACAGGCGTGGATTTTTAAAAAATACTTTTCATGGTCTACTTATAGGCGTGGATTTAAAAAAAAATACTTTTCATGGTCTACTTATAGGCGTGGATTTAAAAAAAAATACTTTTCATGGTCTACTTATAGGCGTGGATTTAAAAAAAAATACTTTTCATGAATTTCAAAAACATATCTTTTATGGTCTACCTACAGGCGTGGATTTTTAAAAAAATACTTTTCATGATCTACTTATAGGCGTGGCTTTAAAAAATATGTTTTCATGGTCTACTTACAGGCGAGGATTTTCACAAAAATATTTGTTCATGGTCTATCATAGACGTGGATTTTTAATAACATATTTTTCTTGTATATCTATAGGCGTGGATTTATTTAAATATTTTTTCTTGTCTATGTATAGGCGTGGATTTCTTTAAATATTTTTTCATGGTCTATCTATCGGCGTGGATTTTTAATAACATATTTTTTCTTGTCTATCTATAGGCGTGGATTTCTTTAAATATTTTTTCATAGTCTATCTATGGGCGTGGATTTTTTTAAATATTTTTTCATGATTTATCTATGGGGGTGGATTTTTTTAAATATTTTTTCATGATTTATCTATGGGCGTGGATTTTTAAAAAAATATTTTTTCTTGTCTATCTATAGGCGTGGATTTCTTTAAATATTTTTTTATGGTCTATCTATGGGCGTGGATTTCTTTAAATATTTTTTTCATGATCTATCTATGGGCGTGGATTTTTTTAAATATTTTTTCATGATCTATCTATGGGCGTGGATTTTTTTAAATATTTTTTCATGATCTATCTATGGGCGTGGATTTTTTTAAATATTTTTTCATGATCTATCTATGCGCGTGGATTTTTTTAAATATTTTTTCATGATCTATCTATGGGCGTGGATTTTTTTAAATATTTTTTCATGATCTATCTATGGGCGTGGATTTTTTTAAATATTTTTTGTATGCCGACCTTATGATGAAGGGTATAAAACGACTCTTTTCCTATTTTCTTTTTACAGTCTCTCATCATTCCCAATAACCTCATTTTTTATTTCCAGAAAGATCAGAAAAACTTCTTCCAAGCCTTGGCCATTTGCCACACGGTACAAGTGGCTGGAGATATGAACAGTAACGGCAGCGGGGAAGGTGAAAAGCTAAAACCCATTGAAAGTGAAGCCAACACCCCAACCGCACCACAAACACCAACTCCATTGGCAAATAAATATTCCATATCCGATATCACCGAAGAAAGTCACAATTCTAGTCAACAATCAGATGTTAATGCCTTGGAAACATCCCTGTCCACAGATCCCAATGGTGTACCATCTGTGGTAATATCAACTCCGGTTAATGGTCAAACAACATCGGATGTTAATCCCCTACTGGATGATGGTGGTGAAAAGGTGGAGAGACGTAAACGTCCACACATTGTTAAGAGAAGTCCCAATTTCGCCAGAGCCACACCACACACCCGAATTCATCCAATGTCTGTACCACCTCAGGGTTTTGAAATGGTTAATGGAGTGGGAGGTGGTGGTGGTGTAGCGGGTGGTGAAAGGCCAGTTATATTTCCATCATCGCTACAGAGTATACCCACTGGACGGCCGCTGTCAATGCAATTTAAACGTTCTACCTCAGAAATGGATTTACCCGAATATGGTGGGGTGGGTAATGGTGCTGGCGCCAAAGCGATTGGTACAGGTGGTGCAATAGGACATAGGCGTTCACAATCATATGGAGCACCCGGAGCGTATATAACACAACCAGGTAGGTTGCACTTAAAAATTGTTTGCACAACGACAATTCGCGTGGGGGTACTTAAGCACCCACAGGAAACTCTGGGTCTTAAATAAAGAGATAACCTATCTAAGAAATGTCTTTTCTGAGTCTGCCCAAAGAACTCAGGGCTCTAACAGATTTCTGTGCGAACTTGGAAGAGCCAGACCCTCTTCTTGTAAAACTTGGAAATGTATAATAAAATGTTCATTTTATTTCAGTTTCTCCCGGCGTCATTTATCGCACTCCCAGTACAGCATCACGTGAATCGTATGCGGCACCCAGTTTCCAACGGCAACCTACCATTCTAATCAGAGCCGAGTCACAAAGGAGGAAAAATGAAATCGAACAAGTTGTACAGTAAGTTTGCCTAGGCTTTAAACGAAATCTAAATTATTTAACATTTTCCTCATTTCAGCACACTGGATTACCAAGCCTCTAGTCCCGACGAAAAGGCCCTTGTCGAAGCCTGTGCCCATTTGGGTTTAGTCTATTTGGGTGATGATGATGAAATTTTGAAAATTCGTGTTGTCCCACCACATATGGACTACAGTCGCCCATTTAGTGTGGGTAAAGTAAACGACATGAGCTTCGATCGTCTACATGTCCTGGAATTCACTTCCGATCGTAAACGTATGAGTGTTATAATAAAAGATGAAAATAATGTTAAATGGATTTATACAAAGGGTGCGGAAAGCTATGTATTTCCCTTGTGTAATAATCAATCGGCGGATATGGTTACCAAAACGGATGCTCATATAAGTGATTTTGCCCGATTGGGTCTGAGAACATTGGCCATTGCTCGGCGGAGAATTGATGAGGAGGAGTATAAGCAATTTTTGGAAGAATTGAATGAAGCTAACAGTTCGTTGGAAAATCGCAAAGAGTTGAGCGAGAAATGTTATGCGAAAATTGAAAGCAGTAAGTAAAAAAACAAAATTTTTAAAATATGTTTTCATTACCTATCAATGGGCTTGGATTTTCTTAAAAATAATTTTCTTTGCCTGACAATAGGCGTGGAGTTTTCAAAAATAATTTTCATGGCCTATCAATATGCGTGGAGTTTTTAAACATATTTTTTCATAGCCTATCATTAGGCGTGAAGTTTTTAAATATATTTTTTCATAGCCTATAATTAGACTTGGAGTTTTTAAACACATTTTTTCATTGCCTATCATTAGGCTTGGAGTTTTTAAACATATTTTTTCATTGCCTATCACTAGGCGTGGAGTTTTTAAACAGATTTTTTCATTGCCTATCATTAGGCTTGGAGTTTTTAAACATATTTTTTCAATGCCTATCATTAGGCTTGGAGTTTTTAAACATATTTTTTCGTGGCCTATCGTGGTCTATCTTATTAATTTTAATTTTCTCTAACTCTCTATTTGTGTAGATATGGATCTATTGGGCGCAACGGCCGTTGAAGATGCCCTGCAGGATGATGTGGCCGACACGTTGGTATCTCTACAAAGGGCTGGCATTAAAATTTGGGTTCTAACGGGAGACAAGGTGGAGACTGCTTTAAATATTGCCCTCTCCTGCGGCCATATTCCCCAGAATGCTTTCAAGTACTTCATAATCGAGTGTACACGCAAAGAGGATATGCTGTTGCATTTAAACGCCCTGGATCGTGAAATAATTTTCGGTATGGGTCGACAATGTGCTCTCTTGATTGATGGCAAAAGTTTAACAGTGGCCCTCAATGAAACACCAGATGAATTCCGTGATGTAGCCATCAAATGTACTGCCGTGCTGTGTTGTCGTCTTAGCCCTCTGCAAAAGAGTGAAGTTGTATCGCTGATAAAGACGGCAAAGCAGAATTTCAATACTGCGGCGATTGGTGATGGGGCCAACGATGTTAGTATGATACAAGAGGCTCATGTTGGCATCGGTATTATGGGTAAAGAAGGTCGGCAGGCAGCTCGATGTGCAGATTTTGCTTTTGCCAAATTCAATATGCTGAAACGATTATTACTGGTTCATGGTCATTATCATACTACAAGATTGTCCTTGTTGGTGCTGTACTTTTTCTATAAGAATATATTCTTTATGGGTATTATGTTCCTATTCCAATTTCATACACTGTTCTCATCATCATCGGTATACGATTCATTATTCCTGACCCTGTACAATGTGATATATACATCATTGCCGATTTTCTTTATATCATTAACGGAGAAACCATATACGGAGGAGACGCTGATGAGGTAAGTTTATTTTTCTCATACATATTTTTCATTGCCTATCCATAGGCGTCGGTTTTTAAAAATATTGAATTATAGCATGTCCCTAAGCGTGGACTTTTAAGATTTTTTTTCATGGCCTATATAAAGGCGTGGATTTTTAAACATATTTTTTCATGGCCTACTTATAGGCGTGGATTTTTAAACATATTTTTTTCATGGCCAACTTATCGGCATGGATTTTTAAACATATTTTTCATGGCCTACTTATAGGCGTGGATTTTTAAACATATTTTTCATGGCCTACTTATAGGCGTGGATTTTTAAACATATTGTTTTCATGGCCTACTTATAGTCGTAGATTTTTAAACATATTGTTTTCATGGCCTACTTATAGGCGTAGATTTTTAAACATATTGTTTTCATGGCCTACTTATAGGCGTAGATATTTAAACATATTGTTTTCATGGCCTACTTATAGGCGTAGATTTTTAAACATATTGTTTTCATGGCCTACTTATAGGCGTAGATTTTTAAACATATTGTTTTCATGGCCTACTTATTTTATAGGCGTGTATTTTAAAACATGCTTATAGGCGTGGATTTTAAAACATACTTATAGGCGTGGATTTTAAAACATACTTATAGGCGTGGATTTTAAAACATACTTATAGGCGTGGATTTTAAAACATACTTATAGGCGTGGATTTTTAAACATATTTTTTATGGCTTACTTATAGGCGAGGATTTTTAAACATATTTTATCATGGCCTATTTATAGGCGTGGATTTTTAAACATATTTTATCATGGCCTATTTATAGGCGTGGATTTTTAAACATATTTTTTCATAGCCTACTTATAGGCGTGGATTTATAAGCATATTTTTTATGGCTTACTTTTAACATAAACATATTATTTATTTTTTGTTCTAGGGAACCTGAGCTGTATAAGAAAAACACTGGCAATAAGCAATTGCAGTGGCCCTTCTTCCTTGCCTGGACATTGTATGCTGTCTATCATACCCTAATCTGTTTCTACTTTGCCTTCTTTATATTCTCCACCAATGATGTTATCCTAAATGTTGGACAAACGGCTGAGTTTTCATGTTTCGGAACATTGCTTATACAACTGGTGGTGATTGTGGGCAATTTGAAGCTATGGCTGGAATCGAAATATTTAAGTTATTGGTATATTGTCACAATAATTGGTTCGATATTGGCATTTATGATAACCACCGTCATATATAATGTGATTAATTTGTAAGTATTTTTTTAATGTAGATTCAAAAACCAATATTTTATTATCTGATTTTTTACAGCCAATACGACACCGATATCTATTGGGCCTACAACAAACTGCTCAGCTCCATTCCCGTATGGCTATTTACCATATTGACAACAGTGGCCTGTCTACTGCCCGATTTTACCTTCCGCATGGCCAAACGAGGCTTAAATTTACCTCAACGTAGTTTCTTCCCCGGCAAAGAACGTCTGCGTTTACTGCAGCTGAATCGCAATAAAGTCCAATCAACGCATTTATAGGACAGTCACAAAACGCCCACAAAATACTGTGCTGCGAACGAAAGTTAAATTCCTAATTGAATTTTAACTGCTTAAAAACAAATCCTTAAAGTATTGAATTTTTATTATTTTTTTGTTATTTATGTTTAATTTTCCTATTCTTTGTTATAGGTATTTATAAATTTTAAGTTTTAGTAATCATAATTATTAAAAAATGTTGTCCAGTGCCAAAAATAGTTTTTAAGTTGTACTATTTTGTAAGTTATTATTTATTTTATACCATGACACAACCAAGTAAACAGCAAACCGTGAAAAAAGAGAAACGATGTAAATAATTTAATATTTCTATTTTGAAAATGAAATAAATACATTACAGTATTGATTTAAATACTTGAACACAAAATATGTCGTGTTTTTTATTCAAACCATTAGGCAGTTCTTCCGGCAATACTTTTAAAAGCATATTTTTAAACCAGTAAGGAAAGTAGCAAAGTGGGACGGGGCCGACAATATGATACCCTTCACCATTATGGGTATATTTAAAAATGCATCTAAACAGAAGGGCCACTAACATGAAATTGGATGTGTGGCAATCGACCTAACTTTGAGTCTTAAAATCGGACAATTTTCATCAAACTTTTACATACATCATTCTAGACTTAAATCAGTACGCTAAGCCAAATTTCGTGCAAAATTAGGAAATAAAAATAAATCGGGCAGAAATATATGGGAGCTACATCTCAAAAATTACTGCCCGACACATATCATTCTAGACTCAATTCAGTACGCTATGCCAAATTTTGTCCAAATCGAAAGATATATAGGGACTTTGATGCACCATTGACATTAAATCGGGCCAGAATATATTTGGGAGCTATATCTAAATCTGAACCGATTTACACGAAACTTACTACGCACCATTCTAGACTTAACTCAGTACACTATGCCAAATTTCGTCGAAATGGAAAGTTATATAGGGACTTTGATGCAACATTTACATAAAATCGGACGAAAAGATATATGGGAGCTATATCTAAATCTGTACCGATATACACGAAATTTACTACACATCATTCTAGACTCAATTAATTACGCTGTACCAAATTTCGTGCAAATCGAATGGTATATAGGGACTTTGGTGCACTATTTACCTAAAATCGGACGAAAATATATATAGGAGCTATATCCGAATCTGAACCGATTTTCACCAAATCAAGCACACGTCGTTCTAGACTTGATTCAGTACGCTATGCCAAATTTTGTCCAAATCGAAAGTTATATAGGGACTTTGGTGCACCATTTACATAAAATCGGACGAAAAGATATATGAGGGCTATATCGAAAACTGAACCGATTTTAAAGAAATTTAACACACATCGTTCTAGACTTGATTCAGTACGCTATGCCAAATTTCGTGCAAATCGAAAGATATATGGGACTTTGGTGCCCATTTACCTAAAATCGGATGAAAATATATATGTGAGATATATCTAAATCTTACCCGATTTTGTCGAAATTTAACACACATCATTCTAGGGTTAATTCAGTACTGTATGCCAAATTTCGTGCAAATCGAAGTTTATAGGGACTTTATTGCACCATTTACATAAAATCGGACAAAACTATATATGGGAGCTATATCTAAATTTGAACCGATTTTCATGAAACTTAGCACACACCATTCTGGACCTAATTCAGTACGCTACGCCAAATGTCGTGCAAATCGAGAGATATGTAGGGACTTTTGTGCCTATATCGGACGAAAATATATATGGGAGCTATATCTAAATTTGAACCGATTTTCACCAATTTCAATAGCGTTCGTCCTTGGGCCAAATAAGTGACTTGTGCCAAATTTCTTCCAATTCGGATCATAAATGCGACCTGTACTTTGTTTACATCTACAGACGGACTGACGGACATGTATAAATCGACTCAGAAAGTGATTCTATGCTCATTCTCAAAAGGAACCATGTGTCTATCTCGTTTCTTTTTGCCTGTTACAAACATACGCAGAAAACCATAATACCCTGTACCACAGTGTGGTGAAGGGTATACATATTTGATATGATATAAATAAAGTTTTTTCTTCATGAATTGGGTTACCTGCAAAACATCAGCCTGCTTAAATTGTTATATTTGGGCGACATCTTTTGTATAATAATATAACTGGCAAATGGTGTTTTATTTTGATCATTAAGACCTTTGGGGCATTCACCATAATTACTGTGGTTTATTAAACAAACCCTATCCATAAACCACACCTAATCTACATTGTACTCTACAAAAAATTCTACATCAAAAACATTCGAATATAACTTAGCACTTTGATTGTGGACAAGTTGATAGACACAATCCACAATACCCACATTCCATTTTTTCATATTTTCAAGCGAGCTTTTTCAGCATTCTACACACACATACACATTTGAGCTACACCGATTCAACGATTTTCTGGCAACCGACATTTTTTGCAAACCGTACGCGCACTTTTCGTCGTAGAAGAAAGCGTTAACAATCACACACATACCTTGCCATATTTCTTTAACATTAATACACAAATGAGATTTTTCTCCAATTCTTCTACAAAACACTTTAGATCTTCAAAAACTTATTTTATATGATATATTTTCATTATATTTAATTACTCATTTGTTTACATTTTTATATTATTTTATTGCTAACAAAACAATTTACAACACATTTCACAATTTCCGCACGCGATCACGTCCGTTTGTAACAATAGCTCACGGAAGACTAAAGGAAGAAGTTATTTTCGAACATTCATTAACCTTTTTAGAAAGAGATAACTATATTCTTAAATACTAGAAAAATATAAGAAGTCCTATTGGATTTACTTAGAGTTGCCAATAACTGAGTTTTGCGCAAATTAAAGGGATTGTTAAATTATTTTATTATTGGGTAATTGACTATTGGACACGAAATCGATGTTGGATAAGTTATCCAGTAGTCGGCTGTTAACTGTTATATTACATTTTATATATTTTTGAAAAATCCACCGTCTTTAACACATGGAATATTCATTGGAGGAGTAAATTTGGATTAATTTTTTCTTGAACAGAAAAAAAATCTATATCGATTTATGCATACCTCTCTGCTGAAATCACGATGGAACTCGCAGTATTTAAGATATAGAATACATTGTTATTACTCGTAGGAAGTTTTGTATTTAAAATGGTATATATCATTCAAATTTTTGTATATCCTTCAAATAATGGTACAACCACTGGTTAGAATTTAGGTGTTCTAAAGGTTCTATATTTTTAATACGCTACTCAATGTTTGACTTTTAAGGGTACATTTTCTAGGTTTGACGTCTCAAGGCCACACCCAACAGCAGAAACAGTGTTCTTTTCATTAAATTTTCATCAATAGATGCACGTTCCCCCTTATGTTTGTGATTTCTCCCCTATATAGTTTAATATTCAACTAAATAAAGGTCGCAAAGGCATTTATCACGAACTGGGGAACATAGTTAACCACGATCCAGATTACCCCAAAATGGTCATAAATATTTACATATATTCATGTTCTGGCAGTATACGTTTAGTTATAGTGACCATCGAATGAATCCATAATAAAGAAAAAAACGTAGACTGGTGCAGTTCGCTCTTGTAGTACTTATTTCAAAAACTAATTCCAAATTTCTGGATTCCAGTCCGATCAATTCTCCCAAATCCAAAGTACGAATTTCCAAAAAGTTCTATATACGCTGTATCGTTTTCAATTCTATCGGTAAAACTAAATCCATTTTGTATACATTTGCTGTAAGTACGTTCCTCAATTTCAGGACTCCAGCCCCATCGGTTCACGCAAATATAAATTTAACAAATTTTAGTACCATTTAGTACACATTGGTACTTAATACCAAAACTTCATACACTCCAAAAGTAATCAAATTTATCAAATTATACCGATTAGTGCACATTTATATACATTTCCTAGGTATCTTCCTCAACAATCCAACACAAATAATATTTCCGAATTTCAGACGATCGGTTCATCCAAATCTAAATTGTACAAAATTTCGGTTCACCCAAATATAAATTCTATTAAAATTCCTAAAATCCATAATTACCCACCCCAAACAATCCAATAAAAATTATATTTCCCAATTCCAGGATTCCAGCCCTATTGATTCATCCAAAATTCAAATTGTACAAAATTTAGTACCATTAAGTACGAATTTTACCTACATAACTTAATTCTGCAATGCACTAGTCATCTTATTACCAAAGTTCAGTGTTACAGCTATATCTGATCACACAAATCCAAATTATACCCATTAAAGTACGATTTAGTACTTTTCGGACACATTAATTATGTGTACAATAAAATTGCTGTAAAATTTTTAATTACATACCTCAATTTTGTGGAATCCTACGTATTTTCCGATGGTTAATTTTTTTCCATATATAAACTGTTATTACCTACGTAGATCAATAACCGTGCTCCATCCGTACCTCCAAATTAAAAAATTGTACCAAATATAGTTTTAAATATAGTACTTTTCCTTATATAGGAACCAAATTATATATACCTTGAAATTATATATTTAAATCCATGCTTAAATGATAGCTCTATCCGTTAACATGCTACGAAATTGTACCAAATTTAGTACATTTTAGTACTTTTTTATTGGATACTTATAGTGTTCATCAATTTCCAAATTTTGAAAACCCCTTTAAGTATATCTATCCCTTACATACAGGGACAAAAACAATAATCCTTATTCTTTATTTCAAATTTAAGAGTTCTATTGATTACAATCCTAAATTGGTTTATATATTATTAAATAATGTTTTAAAGTATTAAATAATGTTAAAAATGCGCACATCTTTGTACTTTAATTGTTTTAGTCCCACCGGAAAACCCTAGTACCCTGAATTTCGGATTCTAGCTTCAGCCGTTCCGGCTAGACGTTGATAAATCGTCACGTCACGTCAATCACTTTACTTTTTTATTAATATACGTTCTCAAAATGGTCTACTTGACGAAAAACGCT